ACAGCATGAAGCATGGTTTTGTTTTAGATTAAAAAGCTCAGATATACTATTAAAGATTAAATTAAAGATTTAAAAAAAACTAAAAAAACACAAATTAAAGATTTAAAAAAAACTAAAAAAACACAAATTAAAGATTTAAAAAAAAAACTAAAAAAAAACCTGAAAAAACACAAATTAAAGATAAAAAAAACTAAAAAAACAAACTGCAGAAGATACCAGTGCTTTCTGGAATAGAAATGTCTAGCTAAAGTTACAAACTGGAAACGCTTGTTAAAATGGTGATTCCTGAAGATTCTTGTATGCTATAAAATTTAAGAACAAATGCTTTAATAACAAGAAGGGCATCTGCTGATAAAATGAGGTTAAACAAAGCATTTGACAAGAAGTAATATGAAAAATCACAAGTTAGAGTGTGTTTCTTATTTGGGTAGGGTGTCTTTTTGGTGGGATTTTTATAATAGCTCAGAGACGAAGGGTCTCTCAATAAATGGGTATGCTTTCTATTACAGATGCTGTGCTCAATAATACAGCATTTCAGTTTCATTTATGTTTTCCCCATAAAGCAGTCAAGTGAAAGATTAATTTACCTGGAACTCCCAATCACCCATTAAAGGAAGTCCAAAGTTACAAAGAAATATGGGTTAATGAGTTTTCAGAGCTGGTGCTATCAGTATTACTGGGAAGCCATAAATAGCACGATAAGATTGCCAATAATGGGCTCCTACAGAGCGGCCAGTGTAGCAACCCTGAAGAGCACTGGTTTCCCAGGCATTTCCTGGGAACGTGAATGGAATGAGCACTAGGGTGACCTTTACGCAAAGGCTGGGTGACGAGTGTCAGTAAGTGAACTACAAATGGGATGATCAGAGAAAATACTTCAAAGAATGAAGTCACTTCCAGTGTAGCTTTAATTTTCTGCTTCAAAAAATGCGGCATAAAGATGAGCAGGTTGAGGATAAGAGCAGAAGGTAAAGTAGCTTGGTAAATAAGGGAGTCTAAGAGGCAGCTGAAAACAGTGAGGGTGGGATCTGCAAAGGTTGCTGCGAACAATCAAAAGACACACAGGGAAGGTATTGCTGCATGTTTACCAGACTTCTCAGGGGAATAAGGGAGGGCAATGGAAAGCAGTTTGGACTGGGAAACACAAGACAGTATTTTTCGCCTGCTCTGTCTTGAGGAGACCCTGAGACAACGGGCAAAGTAAACAGGTTCTCTTTCAAAAGAAATGGTTGAGCTCAGGGAGAGCAGCCTCACACACTGGGGGGAGTTGTAGGGGGTAGGGGAGAGACAGCGGGGAGAGGGGAGGAAGGGGAGGGTGGGAAGGGATAACATGGGGAGAAATGCCAGATACAGTATGCACCTAAAGTAAAATAAATACATTTTTTTAAAAAAACACACAACTCACAGTTATCTGGGGCTGGGGGGGGCGGGGGGGAAGAAATGGTTAAGCTAATGTTACCCAAGGTCCCTTTGGCGGATAATGGTATATTCTAAACCATGCATTAGTTTCACGAAGTGACTGCCACTGTTCCTTAAATGTCACCTTTTAATTAATCGTTATTTGTGTATCTCATTGTCTCTGTATGTTCACATAATGAACTATTAGGAGGATTAATCCAGTTGAAATAAATTCACAGAAAAATTAATTACTTTTTGACATTATTTTCTCAGTTAACTCCTCTTAATAATACAACCGTCTTAATTTATATGTCATTTATCTCACACTTTTATAAGCAAGAGCTTCTTTACAAATTATACCTATTTTCATATAAGCTAAAATGTATAAAACTCAACTAAGAGTATGCATCTCAAAATAATATGTTCTTTTCATTCTGGAAATGCAGTACGGAGGAAGAGTAACTTGAGACAGCACTGATGTTGACTGGGCTGGTACCCGCCCAAGGCTCTGGATTGGTGGAAAAGAGAAACATGACTCAGAATATTTTTATGTTTGGCATGTATTCCCAAAGCATCCAAATACCCATTGTTGAATGTTAGTAAAATTTTCATAGTGAAGGAAAAGTAAATGGTTTGAGATTCTGATTAGTTTCAAATTCTCTTGCTGTGCATCAGCTTGGAGCAAAAAAATCAAATTTAGAGATAGACACATAAAAGAAATCTGTGGGGTTTTTTTTTGAGACCAGTAATATATAGCAAATAAGACTATTTAACTCTGAAATGAATCATTATTTTAATAGAAAAGGCAATTGACTGAGAGATTCTTTTTGCTTCTAAAAAATGATGGCAACATAATCCTACCCATGAGTCAACAGTGAGAGGATGGGAGGGAGGGTTGAAAGTCAAGTTTTTTATGGGGTTCTCCATTCTTCTTCTTGTCATTACAGATGGATCTCTTAAAACCTTAGAGCAGGACCCTGTGCCTTGTTACACATTTCCTGTTATCTTAAAAACCAAGATTCTCTCTGCCATTGCCTAAAATTAAAATATGAAAGACGTATTTCTTTGGTGAAAAGGTACTTTTTTTTGGCCCAAAAGCTCCTTTTAAATCAAACTACTCTTATAAAAGGTAGCATATTATGGCAGTATTAATCATGACTATCTTTTCAGAGATCGATTAAAAAATGCTTATAAAGGCCAGGCGTGGTCACTCACGCCTGTAATTTCAGCACTTTGGGAGGCCGAGGCGGGTGGATCACGAGGTCAAGAGATTGAGACCATCCTGGTCAGCATGGTGAAACCCCGTCTCTACTAAAAATACAAAAAAGTAGCTGGGCACGGTGGCGCGTGCCTGTAATCCCAGCTACTCAGGAGGCTGAGGCAGGAGAATTGCCTGAACCCAGGAGACGGAGGTTGCGGTGAGCCGAGATCGTGCCATTGCACTCCAGCCTGGGTAACAAGAGCAAAACTCCGTCTCAAAAAAAAAAAAAAAAAAAAAAAGCTTATAAATTTAAGAATGAGATGGTACAAAGGATAAGTATATTTGATCTGGAAAAGAGTAAGCTGGAGCCTGGCTTCCCTGAAACCTTGTCCTGTTTACCTCAAGGGAAGCATTAAATATTTCCGGCATTTTTCTCATAGCCTCTTGCATGTGACTATATTATAATGTTAAATATACTACATAACATATCTATTTTTATTTCTATATCTCTCACATTAAAATTGGTGCCCTCAAAGATGGAACCCATGCCTTCATACCTCTTCCCATTCCTCAAATTCGAGCTCTGTTACTAGCAAGGGGAACACAGGCAGCAATTGCTTATTAAATCTAAGTCATTACATTTATTTGAAAAATTTTAACACGAAACTCAAATATGTGGAGTAAAATACTTTCACTGCTTTCTAAGGTCAGTGATAAAGTTCATAAATTAGTATGAGGATGGCAGGATAAGGCTTTGTCATAATCTGACTTTGGTTTCTAAGGTATGTTCCCAAACTGTAGTCCCCCAAATCTATGGGTAATAGTTAATGGGAGAGAATATAACGGCATCTCCTAATCACCTCTTTGTAACATTTACTTGCCAGTCAATTTCTCTTTAGAATTAGAGTTGTTCCTGAGATGAGAAGGAGATCCATGCCACTGTCAGTAGGAGAAAGCTCCATCTGGTGCTGATAATAATTCCTGGTGGGCAATGAAGTTAAAACGTGGGAAGGATCTCTTAGGGCATAGAAGTCACAATCCACGTTAAAGAAAATGGAAAACAAATTAATATTTTGGGGGTTTTAATTAATATCTAGTATTACTTGGTGATTCTAATGTAACGACATTTTTAAATACTTTCAAAGCAATGTCTCTGAGAAGATTGAAGTGACTAATGAATATGAGCGTGTTAATTCCGAAAACATCACTGTGAGAACCTTCAGAAATAGAACACAAAGTGAGAAAGGTGTGAAGAATGACTTGTCTTATGTCAATGGTATGGCTGGACCAAAAGGTTAACACGATGTATCTTCTGCTGGAATTTCTTGAAACCTTGATTTCCAAAATAAAGAAAGGGAAATAGCATCTTCCAGTTTACCAGGAGCATGGTTCTGAGCAGTTCTCTCTCTCTCTCTCACTCTCACTCACTCTCTCTCTTTCTCCATATATATCTATGTATATATATATAGACATACATACATATATATTATAATGTTAAATATACTACATAACATATCTATTTTTATTTCTGTATCTCACACATTAAAATTGATGCCCTCAAAGATGGAACCCATGGCTTTGTACTTCTTCTCACTCCTCAAATTCTAGCTCAGTTACTGGCAGGGGGAATACAGGAAGTAATTGCTTATTAAATCTAAGCCATTACATTTATTCTAAAACTTTTAACATGAAAGTCAAATATCTGTAGTATATATATATATATATGCATATATATATATGTCTCTCTCTATATATATATATGTGTGTGTGTGTGTGTGTGTATTAGATGCCTAACTTCTTGGCATCTAATATGATAGGGAGTAGATGTGACATGTTGAGTAATTAAAATATTCTGCAATCACAGCTGACAGTTGGCACAGCATATTTAAGTTATAAGATTTAGTCAATCATTTAATTGAGAATTCTTATCAAGCATAAAATGCTCTGTGCAGAGGCCTATGTTAGGCACGAGGAATTTGAGGTCACCAAATACACACACCCTGCCCTCGTGGAGCTTACAATCCAGAGCGGGAAACAGACCATGAGGAAGAAATGCCACAAATAACCTGCTATCACATTCTGGAAAGACCTAGAAGTGAAGGTACTAAGACAGAGTATGCTAGTTCCCCAGCCTGGACTAGTGGAACTTAGGGAGGGCTGTGTGAAGAGCAGGACTTCTATTAAAAGAGCAGTGACTGTCCTTAATGCAGGAAATGCACTTTTGAAGACGTCCTAGTTCAGCAGACACTGCCTTAGTCATGGTAGGTGTGCTATAAACATTCATGACATGCAATCGGTAAGAACAGAAAGGCTAAAGATCTGAACGTGTTCAATAAAAAATACAATATATTCAAATACACAGTTTTTAACAAAGAGTAATACCAACATGCTGTGTGCTTACCCCTATTGTTCCAAAACTTTCTGGCTTTCTTCTCATCTTTTTCTTGCACAAGTGTGTCCAGATCCATTTGATCAGGTACCAGAGAGACTTGGGGCTTGGGATGACATTGAAGGGAGTAGGCAGGGTACCTCCTTCTTCAAAATAACTCATCCAAAGCTTTGTTCGTGCAAATTTCCATTCTATATCTGCATGGTCCTGAATAGGAGAACGTGACAACTGCTGACAGGTTTCTGAATTACAAGGTACCATAAACCTCACAGAGAGCCTATCACCTGACATCAAGTGGCTCTTGAACATTGATTAAATTGCTTATAAAACCACCACTGACTCCCAGAGATAGTCATGTAAACATTTCAGACGATGGCTTAACCTAGAGTAGTCCCAGCTCCCGTGTCACTTCTCATCCTTGCTTCTTCAATGAAACAGACATCTAAAATAATTCCATGTTATGGAAGACTGCAGGAATTAGTCATGACTTGAAGATTAACCAGCGTCTTCTGCACTGTAGGCTCACGTTAGTGTAGTTTCATTCGATTCAGGCCAGAAATAGACTTTCTGTCTTAAACAAAGCCTTGTACTCCTGCTTAGATTAATGCTGCCTCCACGGATGCTCGAGTCTTAGCCTTCATGGCTGACAGGAAAAGTCTTATTGGACATGTTTTCATGTGAATATTATTGTCTACCTTCAGCCAACAGAGATAAACTCAGCAAGAATTTCCACTAACAAATGTAGAATTGGGCGTCTCTGACACACCATTGACTCTTGACCTAACTATGGACAGATTTCAACAGAGAGGAGCATGGCCAGTGGTTGCCCACAAGCCTGAGGCTATCCCCTTCATCACATATTACTCACTCCACTTTATTAATCTCCTGCGGAAGCTGTGGAGCATTTGTGGCAGTTAGATCTGGGGCAGCCAGTTTCTTCTTAATTTAGCCATAAATCTGATTTAAGCAGAAGATATGAGAAGGAGGAGGTGGTAGAAACTGGACATACATTCATTTTAAGAATTCAGAATGGTTCATAGTAACCAGTTAATATCATATACATGAACTCATATTTTAGAGTAGGAGAATAATCTTCAACTATGCTTCATTTTGATATTCTTAAATTGCTGTGTGCTGATAGATGTGCAATTCTGCACAACATGGGTTTTAATCCAGATACTGGACATATTGTGCTTTGAACAGGAATCACCGTACCTAGAAAATGCATGGCCTTATGGTTGCTAAGCAGACGTTTGATAATATGGATAGATCCACATAAATCGGAATCTTTTCAGTTTCCTTTCCCCTTTCCCCTTTCTTCCTTTCGTTCCTGATTTCTCCCTCCTTTCCTTTCTTTTTCTTTCTAAACAAGACTACAGGTTCTTTCTGACCATGCTGCCTTGGTGAAGAGAATTGTATATATTGTTTCCTGCAGGCATGGAGAATGGGACTCAGTAGATTTGACTCAAAGAAATAAGAAGGTAATCATTTAGATAAAGCACTGGCCTGTGAATAGTGCCTTCTTATTCTCTGATTCTCAGGGAGCCACAGATTATGCTATCTTATTGCAATCACTAAGAAAGTGCTCTGTTTGTTCATGATTTAGGATTTCAAGAGGGCCTATCACATAGTCTATGGTGTTAGGAAATCTGGAGATAAAGTTCTAAGCTGTTGATGACTAGATTCATCTTCCACTGCTCACCTTCTAACTCCTAGTCAACATTGGAAACTCGGCTTAAGGATCCTCTCTTCAGAAGCCTGCTCTGCCCCCGTGAGTCCTGAGCTGCCTCCTATCTCCAACCCCAGTCAAGGTCCCCTCTGCCATACCTTCACGACATCCTCAAATTTTTTTTCTCAATATTGAAATTATTTATCGATTTTAAAATCTCTACTATATCATTTTTGTTGAAAACAGGGACTTTTTAATTCTTTGTATCCTTAAAATGAAACATATGTCTGGTCTATAGTAGGCAAGCAATAAATATTTCATCAATGGACAAATGAGTGAATGGAAAGCAGGCTTTAGTCAGGGACTACATCACTGCTTCTGCCTTCCAGCAGTTAAATGTTCTTCTTTTTTCATGCTTTACCTATGGCTCTGAGTTACAGTTAGCAAGGCAAGAAAAGAAAAAGAAAGAAAGAAAGAAAGAAAGAAAGAAAGAAAGAAAGAAAGAAAGAAAGAAAGAAAGAAAGAAAGAGGAAAACCTCAGAGTAAAATCTGCTGTTCTGAATTCTGGGACAGGTGAAAGCAAATGCTTGGTATGTTCATGCCCCAAGGAGGCTTCATGCATGAAGTCCTGGGAACCACACCTGTCTCAGGTTCGCAATGCCTGCTCTTCCCTCCACAGTCTTAGGGTTTGGGCTAAGCAGAAATAGAGGTTTGAAGATGATTCTCATCTCTGTAATGAAGTTACCTAGAAACGCACACCTCACAAAGAAGCAATAAGAAAATGTCATAATATTCTTAAATAGTTTTTTCTTCTTGATGAAATTGGAACATTTAATGTTTTAAAAGATCCAAATTGCTGGCAGCTTCCTTGTATCTAGCTTGATAATTAGAGGCCTTTTAAATGTTTTGTTGTTGTTGTTCCTGATATTCTGGAAAACAGAGCCCACATTTTGGAAACTCGTTATTAGGAGAATGTAGAACTTCTGACACAAAAATTTAGAGACTCTAAAAATTTCTGATCGTAAGATGCTTAAATGAAGATCAAAGTATGCATAAATTCGGATATTTACCCCCAAATTCTAGGACCTACATTTTCCAAAGGAACCATTTCTGCATTTGGAATTCTTTAATCTGTGACTTGATAAATAAAAACCATCTATTCTCACATTCTGTGCAGTTTTTCATCCGTGATGAGTGTCTCATGATAAAAATTTGTGTCCCAAAAGACAGCTGAAGTAAAATTTAGAGTGTTGCTTGCCAAAAATACAGTAGTAACACTTCAGAGGTTTAAGCATAGATTCAAAGGTACAATATAAATGTGGTTATTTATGAAGAAAATGGGAAAACTATAATTATGCTTATCAAATGCTATTGGTCTAAGGTATAGATATGAAAGACTTAACTATATTTCATTCCACTAAGAGCTCTGCTTTGCTGCTATTGCTAGTGGTCATAGACGTACATCACTAGTATATAAGTTCAAGCAGATCAGTTCAAGTTTTGTGTTTCCTGTGCGTTGCTATATTTCTGGTGTCCAGAACAGTACTGGGCAACACAATACGTACCCAGTAAGTATGTGTTGAATGAATAAATAAAAAACTTATGCTAAGTTGCTTAGGTTCCAAAGTTTCAAAAAAGCATGTATTGTATTGTGTAATATCCTATAGAATTTAACTTTGCTTCCGTTAATATGTTGCTTTCCCTGAGCTTTAAGAAACTGAAAATCCTGTGGCTTCTTCCCTTCCCAGACTCCTCTCAGGGTTATCTTTTGTGTCTTGCCCTATAGCCTGACTTTGTTTATATTAGGATGGTAGGTTAAATGGACAGACAGGAGGCAAAACCTATTGGTCACTGCACAGAGATTAGCTGCTTGTTTTTAAGTCAGACCTCACCTGCTACTTCCCATAGCCAGTGACTGCCTGGCAAGATGGATTTGGTTTGTCTCGGCAATCATGTGTAACAAGACAAAATTAGACTAATTTATAGCCATAGTGTGATACTGCTCAGAAATGTCAAATAAACCATTTATAATTCTTATCTGTCTCATCAATAGCCAATTATAGATTTTACTTCCTATGATAAGAAGATGGAGTAAAGCTAAGAACAACACATTTGAGGGGAAATATTGAATTAAAATAAAGCTGGTCAACTTACAGCAATCAGTTGGTAAGAATTATTCATCATAGCTATTAACATGTTGAGTAGAACAACCAGAGAGATGACATTATATGTCCCAAACATGGTGGCACCAACAAACTCAGTAAATTCATGCTGTGCTTTAACATTGGTCACATATAAATTGATGAGCCCAAATATTGACCAAAACAGGGACTGGAGTGTCTCAAATAACCTGGAATAAAGACAAAATGATACTAATAGCTCTATTAATAGAATCATGATACATAAGATATAAGAACAAAGCGTGGCACTATTATGTATGTATAAATAAACATTACTATCAACAGTAAAATAACCTTTGAGGGCAATGACAAAATTAAACAATAAAAGGAGTAAAAGAAAATTGTTTTTTTTTTCAAACTAGTAAAAATGTGTACTTAAATTTCCCAAGAGCTTTGAAGCTAAATTTAGTTTCCTAGAGCAGAGAGAAGCAAATGCGGCCCAGAGCCTGTTTCTGCATGGCTACTGAGTGAAGAATGGTTTTTACTTTCTCAAATGGTTGGGACCAAAATCAAAAGAGCGATATTTCGTGACATGAAGACTATGTAAAATTCACATCTCCATATCCATAAATAAAATTTTATTGAAACACATCCATTCTCATTCATTTATGCATTCCCTACGGCTTCTTTTGTGCTACAATGGCAGAAGAAAGTACTTACAACAGAGAACATATGGCTGAGAAAACCTAAAATATTTACTATCTGCTCCTTTACATAGAATGTTTGTCAATCTCTGTCCTAGGGCACTAAGTGACAGCTAATAAATGACAGATCCCAAATTTTAGGCTTTAAAAAGTCTGCTCTTTTACTGATTTTGCTTTGGTTGTAGGAAAATTAAGATTATCCTTATTACAGATTTCCATGTTTACAACTAAAATTGCACATAATGCATCTTGTAAGATGGCAAAGAGTCTCAGATGCTTAGATAATAACATTTGATTTTTTTTTTAATTTCAAGCAACATTTTATTTATTCTAGCCAATGAATACACACTGGCTGTTTCTTTCTTTTCTTTTTTTCTGTGAGCCAGAGTCTTGCTCTGTTGCCCAGGCTGGAGTGCAATGGTGTGATCTTGGCTCACTGCAACCTCTGCCTCACAGGTTCAACTGATTCTTCTGCCTCAGCCTCCTGAGTAGCTGGGATTACAGGTGCGCACCACAACACCCAGCTAACTTTTGTATTTTTAGTAGAGACAGGGTTTCACCATGTTGGTCAGGCTGGTCTTGAACTCCTGACCTCAGGTGATCTGCCAAGTAGTCTCCTTAACTTACTCCAAAGAATGAAATGAGCTGAGGAGTATATAAACCCAAATGGAGAATTGTTTGTTTCAAAGGATCATAATAATCCATTAGTATAATGTAATAAAATGATGATAGAGCTTTCATACTCCTTGATGAATTGTTAAAACGAGACTGTATTTAAATTACAAAAATAAAACAAAAACCTTTTGGTACTGCACATGATGACTAAGGAGGTAGGGTTTCTATCTGTAGGGAGATTAGCATTATTGGAAAGGTGTTGCAGAACCAAGCCAGTTATGGTTTCTGGCAACTCCAAGCCCCAGTGACGTTGTTCTCTGTATGCCCTTTTACGGAAAGGTGGTTCTTGTGTAAGACTCTGGAGCTCCTCACCCAATACCTCCATGGATTAAGTCAGTCATGGTCAAGTGACTCAAGGAGAGACAATTCATATAAGGCCAGTGGCCTGTGGCAAAAATGATCAGAATTCCCCTCTAGAGAAGTTTGCCTTAAAAATATCCAGATAATTGCCCAAAGGGGCTGAGATGACAGGGGTTATGACGTGAAGTCAGAAACACTGGAATGATCGGATGCCACAGGTTTGAGACAGCACAAACTAAGAAGCAGAGAATTGAGGATGAATAAGCCAGGCAATAAGTAAACTCAGAATATAGATGAAGTAGCTGACTCACCTTAATGCTCATACACAGAGTAACAATCCCATAGCCCAGCACTATGTCAAAGCCTGCTCTTCCTAAAGCTAGGGCTTGCTCTAAGTTCCGCCCTTGTAAAGATAACCCTTACTCAGAAGACTGAAGGGCTATAATTCTGTGCATAATTTTTATGACAAAGTGCTGTTACTTGAAATAAGCCATGCATTTTTGTGCATATAACCAGGAGATTCTAATTAAATATGCCTTATTTGGCATTCAGAATGTAAATTGCTTTTTTAAAAAGGTGAAGAAAAATTTTTTAATTGAGCAACTGATTTTTAGATATGAAATGTAACTGTTTATTTTCTACAGCTTTTGAACGATGGAACAACAGATTGCTGTGAAGTAAAAGGGCACTGATCTGATCAACTTTAGCCAGACTGTGATTCTTAAACAGAATGCTGTGCATTCTGCTAGGAAGTGATCACGTATTCTTAAAGGAAAACCCAGATGCCAGATTCCAACAACATTAGAGATAATTAAATTGACTCATTGGTCCTAGACAAAGGCCACTAGAGCTACCCTTTTAAAATTTCTCAGGAAAAAGTAAATTTGGCCCATGGCCATGAATTCTTTATTTTTAGTAACTTTAAAGACAACTTCTAAAATTAATCATAGTGTCCTTTGGATTTAATGTGAATTAACTGTATTCTTTCTTTCCTAATAGTGTAAATTCTCACAGTGAGTATACACATAAAAATCAGCTGGCTTTTCCTGACATGAATAGCAATTTAATGAAAGTTATAAGTTAAATATTACAAGTTATATAATAAATCATATAAAATGTTACCACACAAACCCCATAACAGTTTCTTTTTCAAATAAAAACAATGATGCAGAATAAAGGGCTCATTATTTTGAATAGTACATATTTGCTTCTGTCTACATAATACCTACTAATTTTAGGAAACATTAATAAACACTTTGGCAAATTATTATTGATGTTTAAAAAAATTAAAGGGGAAAATTCTAGATAAAGTGACTTTTCATGATTACATATGGGTTCTTCCTTTTTTTTAATTTTCCTTCTTTCAGTGGAATAAGTCAGTGGTGAGATTTAAAGACTAGTTCCACTCAACTAAAATATATTTACTTCTCAGAGAAATTAAGACCTTGGTCTTAAAGTATTTCTCAATGAATTGTTCAGATATTAGGTGGATTTTTAAAAAGTCAATCTAGGTTAACAATTCAAAGCCATTGCTTCCAGAAATGTTTTTTATAGTTAGTGATTCTCAAATCCATTGATACCAACATTGGCCATAAATTGAAGGATCATTACTTACAGCATCACATTTTAGAATGCCTTTGTGTGACCAATAATTTTTCTTGTTCTGTGGTAAGATATGAACTGAAAACTCTCCAAGATAACACCACAATTTAATTGACACTTAGACAAAACCTGGGTTCAAGACTAAATCCTGAACGTCTGTATGGGTGGATTGAGGTCCTGCCTTGCTAATGATAACATTTTGTCTGTTGCTCTGAATATATTCCTCAACAGATACTTTATAAAATTAGCTTGTTTCCCTGATTGCATATTTACAGCCAGAAAAATTGAACATGTAAAGAAGTAATGTATTCCCCAGCTGAAGTTTTCTTCTATCCCATGGGACTAAAACAATGAGCAAACATAAATTAATACAAAATTCAGCTGAATATTTTATCTTTAGTTTATAAGCAAAAATGTAATATTAAAATAAGATATGACTCCAACTGGCCAGTTCCAACCATTAGGAATACAGCTGCAATGAATATAAAAGGGCTTTGCTTAATGAGACAAAACCTGTCACAAGACCTGTGCCCTTCTCTTCAGAAGGGAGTAATTTACCAGGGACTAATAGCTTAAAATTGCATGTAGAATAGTTTTGACAACTAAGCATTTTGTGTCTTTTAATAGCATATAGTTCTCAGGATAATGAGAAAATAACTGGAAAGGAGAAGGAGGAAACGTCCATTCATTGGAGGGAAACTGTATGAAGACACATAGAACATGGATCACAGGCTGACACTGGGCGTTCACAGCCAGGGAGGAGACCAGAAAAGGCCTCCTGGAAAAGGTATATCCGAGGTAGGATTTGGGGAAAAAAATTGCCAAATGGAAGGGCAGAATAAGGACGTTCTGGAATGAGAGAAAGAAATAACATATTTGGAGATTTATATTTATAATCCATCAGGAAATATTGATGAGTAAAGTGGTTCTGGGGGATTGAAAGATGAAACAAGAAAAGGAAGTGCTACAGAGGATGTTCATCTCCTTCAGATATCATGTTGAAATGCCATCCCTGATGTTGAAAGTGGGCCTCAGAGGGATGTGTTCGAATAACGGGGGTAGATTTTGGGTTGCTGGCTTAGTGGCATCCTAGGGGTGATTAGAGAGTTCGCACACTATTAGTTCTCACAAGAGCTTATTTTTGAAAAGACCCTGGCTTCCTTCCTCTTTCCCCATGTGATGCCTGCTTCCCCTCACCTTGCAACATGAGTGGAAGCTTCCTGAGGCCCTCACCAGAAGCAGATGTTGATGCTGTGCTTTTTATGCAGTGTGCAGAACGATGAGCCAAATAAACTTCTTTTCCTTATAAATTACCCAGTCTAAGGTTTTTCTTCATAGCAACAAAAATGGACTAAGACAGGAGGCAGGGGACAGGCAGATCAATGAAGGACCTAAAATATCAAGCTAAAGAATGTGGCAGTATCCTGTAAGAAATGGGAAACCATTTTGACACTTCGGGGGAGCATCAGATTTGGTTTAGAAAGATAATTCAGGAAGCAGAGTGGAAGAAATATGAAATAAGGCAGATACCAGGGGCAGGGATACCTAGATTTGGGCATGAGTGGAAAGCAAGGGAAGACAATGCCAAGATAACATTGACGGACCACATATGGAAGGGATGAGGAGAAGACAAGATCTAGAATAAGATGTACATTTTTCATGTAAGTTTCTGTGTGGATTGTGGTGATGTTGACTAAGAAAAGGAGTTAAGCAGGAAGAAGAATATGTTTTAGAGAAACTGTTAAATTCTCTTTGATTGAATTTAAGTCTTCAGGAGACATGTAGAGAGAGGTGTCCAGTAGACAGTTGAATATATTGTGCAACCCAAGGATAGAAGTTGATGCTAGTAAGATAAATATGGAAGTTATGTCTGAGACATATAGAGCCAAATCCAAAAGCATAGATGAGTTTTCATAGGGGTACTGTTAAGACGGTCTTAGGTTAGTATGCCAAGACATGCCACTATTTAAAAGCAGTAATAAAAATAAAAAATTAGGCCAGGAGCGGTGGTGGCTCACGCCTATAATCCCAGCACTTTGGGAGGTCGAGGCAGATGGATCACGAGGTCAAGAGATCGAGACCATCCTGGTCAACGAGGTGAAACACCGTCTCTACTAAAAATACAAAAAATTAGCTGGGCATGGTGGTGCACGCCTGTAGTCCCAGCTACTCAGGAGGCTGAGGCAGGAGAATTGCTTGAACCCAGAAGGCGGAGGTTGCGGTGAGTCGAGATTTTGCCATTGCACCAACAAGAGCGAAACTCCATCTCAAAATAAATAATAAATAAATAAAAATAAAAAAATAAAAAATTATCAGAGTGAAGTGAGAAAGGCTAGAGAAGTAGGATTTGAGGTGAAAAAAATAATAATACAGAAGTTAAAAGGGGACAGGATTTCCAAAATGGAAGTGTTAAAAGAGGGTAAAATGAGGCAGATACGATAAGCAAAATGTAAGCAGAAAAATGTCCATAGGTAGTAGTGATAAGAAGGCTCTAGATGATAATTTTTAGAGCAGTTTCAGTGGAATGATGGAAAGAGAAGCCAAATTATAATTGGATAAAATCTAAGTGAGAGGTGAGAAAACAAGGTGTCTTGTGTAAGCTTCATTTAGGGTTACTTGGATGAAGGAATTAGAGAAACAGGAGTGGTAGCTAATGGGCTGCAGGGAGCCCAGAGCACACCATTGCACTGCTGGGCAACAGATCGAGATTTCGTTTAAAAAAAAAAAAAGATTCAGCTACTCGGGAGGCTGAGGCAGGAGAATTGCCTGGACCCAGGAAGTGGAGGTTGTGGTGAACCGAGATCGCGCCATTGCACTCCAGCCTGGGTAACAAGAGCGAGACTCCGTCTCAAAAAACAAAAAAAAAACCAAAAAACATTAAATGATTGAGGGAAGCTAAAAGAAGTTTGTGTTTAAGATCCACGGTTGTATAAAATCTATTTCTGAAACTAATAAGGTATCAATGGCTAAGATTTTTAAATTATGTGCAAAAGCAAAGATGAAGAATTATTAAAATGAAGCTTTAAATATTGGGGCTAAGATAAAACAGATGTAGAATTAAAACAACCAAAGCATTTAAACTGCAAGTGATTTCGTTTATGTGAGATTATTGATTTTCTCTAACCTGAGAAATTATGTCGTCTCATACACAATTCTATGATGGCTCATGGATAATGTATGACTTTTAAAGGCATCTACAAAATGACAGTGTATTCACACATGCTTACTGTGCGGAGGAAAATCACTTCTCTTATTAATTCATCTGCTTATTAACCATCTGTTTGTCACAGTTAAAAGGAAAAGGGAAAGATATAGAGAGGAATAGCCTGAGAGCTGTGTGACCATCAAACACAGTGCTCATGAAGCTGTGCTGTTAGCAGACCCGTCATGAATATTACTGAGAGTTGACAATAGACACTACCTATTGCTCACTCAGGTGTAAGGGCACGGAGAGCTTTGTGTGCATGACAATAATGGCTAGATTAATCTTGGATTTCCATTTGCACTATTTTTAGATGGTTACATTTTTGTGTAGGCAACTAGAGAATGAAAGAGATACATGAATGGACTTCATGCATCCTGGTACCTGGGAAACAGATGAGGAAACATTGAAACCTACTTGAATTTTCCAACATGAGTGGTTTTACGTACGTTCTATCTTTTAATGTAATTGTAAGCTTTCATAGTACATAGATTACCTTTTTTCTTGTACATCTAAAAAAATAGTAACTTTTGCTTTCTTTTTCATGAAGTTATTTAGAGGAAAAGATGATTTTACTAAAATTAAAAATAAATGTGCCAGGTATTCTTTTTCCTGTCAGAAGTTTTCATTTCTATTCAAAGCCACGTTAATTCTGTTTTCTGTCTTAAGCATAATTTTAATTCCCCATTTTCTTTACAACCATTTGTCATAGGCTTTTCAAGTTCATGATGTGGCGCACTCTAAATACCGTACAATGTTACCAGTAGAAACGTCTATCAGACTTACGTCGAAAATGCATTGTTCTGCTTTTCACATCGTATGCCTTTGCAGGTTAACCCTTTGGTTTCTTCATAATAGAAGTACAACTGATTCAGGCCATTTGCAAATGCTAGCAACACAAGGCAGTATATGAATAGAAACTTCAAAATGTCCAGGAGCATTCTTCCCAGAGATATTTGCAGAGGTCCCAGGTGAGAATTTGCAGTAAACAATGAGATCAGACGCAGAGAACTGAAGATGTTTGCAATAGCAAATAAAGCCTCTGCCACCAGAGTGGGATGCCACATGTCCCATGATTCTCGTGGATTAAGGGCACTGTACTGGAGAGAACAGAAACAAATGGAAAGTAAAACAAACACACACATATAAATATATCAAGGTCAGAGTGCTTTTCCAGGTTGACCCAGCACAATCATCTACTGTCAGGAAGCTGATGTCGTTTATGACGGTAGCAGTGATATTAATCCACACAAAAATAAGGGTTTACTAAATTATAACTTATGAACTGTAATCCAGTGGCCTCCAGGTCTGTCCTTATCAAGGGTAGTTTTTGTTAGCATGTTAATTATACGAGTCTTTTAATTTTCTAATAGAACTGTTTTCAAAAAGAAAAGGATAATGTCATATCCAGAAAAAGAAACCCTATCTGAGTTTATATTGGGGAAAGGTATAAATATGATAGCAAAGAAAACTACATCATAAAGGGAAACTATTAAATTTTGAACAAAATAATCGATGACCTTGTTTATGATTTTTTTGAACACACTTGCCAGTTCTGGAGAATACATGTAGGATACAAATGACATATGAATGAGTAGAAGTAGTGGTCTGTTGCTATGGAAACAGAAATGACCAATATGGGCAAAAACCATCAGTGCTTCCTTTCTGCTATGTCCTAAATGTAAATACAACCTAACTTAGAAATCATCCCAGCAGTCATTGAATTGCTAATTTTTTACATTTGATATGTAGGAAATATAACATTTATCTGAACATTATTTAAGTAGGTAAAATATGTGATTTGAGAAAAAAAAATTTGATACTTTAAACTTTGACAAGCAATTATTTTAAAAAAGCAAGAAGATTAATTAAAATGTCAGATTTGAATTATCCTGATATTGAAACATATAAAGAACAAAATAAAATTTAAATGTGTACTATTGATGTAAATTTGTATCCTTTTAAAAAAGGGTCAAATATGCTCTTTGAAATATTGTAGTATGAAAATATGTAGTTAAATCTGTATTTGAACTGAACAATAAATTATTTTCTTCCTACACATCACTGAAAAATGTGTCTAGACGACTAAGGTATTTTTCCAATGGAAAGAAAGTTAGTGGAACTCTGAGTCCCATCGAATATCTTCATTCTTTTAATAACACATTTTACATCAAAGACCTTTACAGATGTGAATCAATTAATTCTACATGAAACTCATAGATAGTACTTTTTTAATCTCTCTGGGGAGAAAATGCACTATAGGCTCCTGATCTTATTCAACTCAGACTCTTGCTTGACTGGCAGTGTAAAACAATCAAGTTTGAACTAGAAGAAAATTATTTTCTATTTTTAAATCCCGATAAATGTTCTTGAACATTCCCACACATAGCTTCCGCATAAAATAGCTAATTACTGAAGATGTTGAAAAAAGTTAAGATGTTTTTCTCATTCATTATGACAAATATCAGAGTGAAACTTGGATGCTAAACACTACCTAATTCTCTCCTTTTAGTCTTGCTATGTATGATGTCACCTTTTCCTTTAAAGACCATCATCACATTTTCCTTCCTTTCCTCACTTCTCTCTTAAAAGACACACATATTTAAAATCCATAAATATTGATAGCTGTCCCCCTGTAGTTGATAGCTAATCTTATCAACTATAGAATTAGCTCATAAATATTTATAGTTGATAAATATCCCCCTATGTTCATAGCTTATTCTATTTCTCTTTTTTCAACCTAATATAGCTTAGGACTACATTTCAAAAACATACAAAAAATGAAACAAGAAGTATTCTTAAGAAAGCAATCATTTTCTTGAACTTCTTACAACATTTAACATAATGCCCTGAATACTGTGGGTTCTGAAGAAATCTTTTCTCCTGTCAAGTATTCATAGTCCAGTGAGGCAGACAGGCACAAATGGTAATAAAAATGCTCTAAGAGATTAGCACAAAGTGCTGTGGGAATAGAGAAGAGGAAGTGATTAATTCTGTCTGGGGTGTCTGAGGCCAGGAATGGATAGAGATTATATGTTGTCAGAGATGCTGTGCATTGCTCTAAGTTTCACATCCAGGTCAGCTGGATGTGGATCCACCATCACGTCACGACTGGGTCAAGCTCTGTTACGGACCTACTGTGAAAAGAGCCCTTCTTGGTAAATTATCTCAGCGAGACTGAAAAAAAAAAAAAAAACTTGTAAGAGCAAAGTTTTCTGTTTTTATAGATTCTGCCCCAGTATGGTTATTCAAGTTGATTTCAGAGTCTAGCACTTGTAGTCATGGCCAGGAAACAATGCTACAGGAATATATTTACTTTATGCAAGGTCAAGGCTTTAAGCAAAACATTGCTGGCATCTGTGTTAAAGGATGTTTGAACAGCAACCTTTGGAAGATAAAGATGGAGACCTCCTGAGAAACTTAGGATCATCTTCCCAGAAGCTATGTGCTTACACTCTCAGAATAATAAACCTAGGGACCTTTGCCTCCCCAGAGACAATTTATTTACTTTAGAAAGTTAGAGCCTTTCTCTTTTCTTCTCCAGGGGAAAGGCAGGCAGCTGGCTCAGATGCACGGTATGAGTTCTGAGGCACATAATTTCCAAGCTCCTCTCCTATGGTACAAACCCATATATACACAGGGTAAGTCTGGCTCCCATTAGGTTCCCGGTTGGGGACTAGGGAATGAGGAACAAATGCTAAGTTTGCTATAAAAGTAAATAATTTATCTGTTCTCTGATCCAAAAAACCTCATTTCCTGTCAGGGATTAAGAGATCTAAGTATTAAGTAATTATATCCTGAATTCATTCTTTTTAAGTTTTGCTTTTTGAAATTTTTATTCCATCCTTCACATACACATTTTCTTCAGTTTTTAACTATAGTCATCATTTAACAAAGTGATTTTTATAATTCTTAAAACTGTGTCATCATTTGAATTTATAAGGAATAACTGTAACTCTTCAGTCAATGAATTTTCCACACCTATTATTAGGAATTAGAATATTGATTTGAATTTTAAAAATTTCTTTGGCTCTGCTATTTAAGAGCAATTCTACCCTCACTTTTCATCTTTGCATGTTTGTCTCTGAGTGGCCTCTTCTCAGTCTCCTTTGGAAGTTCCTCGATCTCATCTGCCCCTTAAAAGTTGTGTTCATTTTTCGGCTGGGTGCAGTGGCTCATGCCCGTAATCAGGACTTTGGAAGGCCGAGGCAGGTGGATCATGAGGTCAGGAGATCGAGACCATCCTAGCCAATATGGTGAAACCCCTGTCTCCACTAAAATACAAAAAATTAGCCATGTGTGGTGGCACGCACCTGCAGTCCCAGCTACTTGGGAGGGAGGCTGAGGGGGAATTGCTTGAATTCGGGAGACAGAAATTGCAGTGAGCTGAGATCATGCCACTGCACTCCAGCCCGGCAACAGAGCAAGACTCCATCTCAAAGAACAAATGAACAAACAAATACACACAAACAAAGTTGACCTCACTTTTTCAAGCCTCCGCTCTTCTCATTCCACTCATTCTACCTGGATGTTTTCCAGGATTTCAACTCTCAGTGACTATTCTCAGCTATACGTCTCCAGCCGAGGCTTCTCACCTAACAGTTCTATTCTGCATTGTACTGTCTGGTTGAGTTTTCCACTTCTATATCTCACAGACAACTCAAACTCACCCACCAAAAGTGTAATTCATCACCTTTGCATCCTCAGACTCTTTCTCCATTTACCCCTTCTGATCCGATGAATGGCAATAGGTCACCAAGTCAGAATTTGAGGTTCACCCTAGAAGCTCTTTTTCTCAAATCCCAGCATCATCTAAACCCAAATCTTATGTAGGTTACTTCCTTCTTTTCATTAGTACCCTCATTATTTTAAAATAATACTTATTTCTCAGATATAACTATAGCACCCTCCTCACTGTTCTCCCTGCCTTATCTCCTCAATCATCTGTGTGATTCTTTTAAAGAATCTTTAAAGGAGCCAATCAGACCAAGTCAGTCACAAGATTGTCCTTGAGATGACCTTCTGGTTATTCAATAAGCTACATAAAGCCTCTGCATTTCGACATCTTTTAAAGATTTAACTGCCATTTGACCCTAATTAGACACATAATGTTTTGGCTCAAATTTTCAAGACTGGTAATTCTTCAAATTAGTCACACATTCTTACCAAAATGCTTTTCCACGAGCGTTGTGCCTTTCTTTCTACAATGAATTTAAATTCTAATTATTTGGATTCTTCAGCTGTTATTTATTCATCAAGTATACATGAGTGTGCCTGCTCTGTGTCAGGCACTATCTTCAGGGTTCACGGTAATGATCAAAGGAAGATGCCATGTGGGCTTACAACATGGTGAGGTCATACATGAATCAAGCCATGCTAATCCTTTACTCTGACTGCTGATGAGTGGACACAAGGATCCTGCTGATCAAAGCTGGCAGCTCCGTGCTATAAAGTAATCCTTGAGGAAGAAATCAAGAGCTACTCTAAACACACATAGGTTTTCCAGATCACTAATTCCTGTATTCCTCCTCTAGATTATTTGTTTTCAGTCTGTACCTACCCTAGTTTGATTTTGTCCCAATTCTTTCTTTCTATTCAGATTTATTTTAAAGAGAATTGCTCATTTTGCAGATCGATATAAAAGAAAGGTAACTTCAGATTTCTTGTCAGATTCTTACGCAGGGAGGTTTGTCTGAGGCATTTTTTGGTGCTGGACATCTAGTAGAGTGCTTTATATATAATACGAACTCAAAAAGCACTCTGGGAGAAGAATTATAGGCATATTCAAAAACAAAGTGGTTAGAGAATATGGATTATTTTTATAAATGTGTCTTGACACAAATGTAACACAGAGGGCTTGGGAACAGTGAGATGAATATGAGAGGATGAGATGAGTTGCTGCCGAGTCATGAAGAGTTTAGCGGAAGTGTCAGGAGAGAAAGATGAACTGAATCATAATATTGGATCAGAAGTTTATTGAGTGTAGGAAAATATGTTAGTTTATCTTTATATCCTCTATAGTCTCTGATGCATGCTTGTGAATGTCAAGTAATAAATAGAAATGAGTATAAATTAAATTAATATGAAATTAAAATATTGG